TAAATGGCCTGTATTTATATAGCGCTTTACATATCCAGTCATCCACCCATTCACACACACATTCACACACTGGTGATGGCAGCTACATTGTAGCCACAGCCACCCTGGGGCGCACTGACAGAGGCGAGGCTGCCTGACACTGGCGCCACCGGGCCCTCTGACCACCACCAGTAGGCAACGGGTACTATAGAACCAAGTCCACCAGAGCTTATATTATTTTTTTACATGCTGTAGTGCCATTTGTGGGAGCATTTCAAGTTGCTATACATCAATACAACTGTTATAGCCCATATTTTAATAATATGTATGCATTAAGTCCATAGTAATTACATAAATTGCAAAAAAGTGCAATAAACTACAAAAAATATTGAAAATCGCTTTTGTTTTGTTTACATATATTTCTACTTGGAGAAATTTAAGAGGTTTATCCCTCAAAACTTTAAATACAATAAAGTTGCAAAAAATAGTTTACAACAACAGGAAATTTATTTTGAGTGTCTTCATAGTTTTAATTTGGAGATACAGCAATTTTTATATACTGCAGGAAAAACAAAAAACAATCCTATGATGCAAATTTGCAAAGAAAACAGCAGGTGCATCATTTCACTGTGGGAAGTGTTACGAACAGCTGATAGGATCGGCAAAGCGTGTTTCTGGAATATTATGTTTTTGTTCCTGCAAGAGCTTTTTATGCAGTTTTTGCAAAGCTATATGTGGAAGGAAACCGTGACCGAGGACAAGCTGATGGCATCAGATGTAAGTACAACTCCTCCGGTTTCATATGCAAAACAAATTATTGCGCTAGCTTACATGGTTCCGGTTCTACAGGGATTTAAAAATAGTTACACAACACGGAGCGTGCTGCTCTGACCGGCTTTAAAGGGTTAACAATGACTTTAAAAAATAATATAACATAGTGTGCAACACCACTGAAGTTTTTTTACCTCTCTTTTCAACCAACAGCAGTCACTCTCCAAATAACTTCTGCTTAGCTTTCCGAGCTTCCCTCGGGTCCTCTTAATCAGCGGTCTCCAACCTTTTTTGCGCCACGGACGGTTTATGCCCGACAATATTTTCACGGACCGGCCTTTAACGTGTCGCGGATAAATGAGGGAGGGGCTAATAATCGGCTCAGTCATTTTTAATGATCGTTGAAATTCCAGATCGTAATCGTGATTAAAATTCGATTAATTGAGCAGCCCTACTTCCACAGTCCTTTTTCCTTTTTCCCTTTAGGGCTGTTCGATATAACGATATATATCGGATGACGATATTAAAAACGTCTATGTTTCATTTTACGCTATCGTTTGTTTCGTGGTGTCACAAAATAAACTGTTTACGGCAACATTTTTTTCATTATATTGATGGTCACAGTAGTGGCTATATTAATTTTTTAAAGTTCTCTCTTTCTTTAAAGTTCTCTTTATATTTGATATAACCACACTACAGACAGAGAAGCAGTTGTTGTTGTTTTTTTGCCTTGTCCTTAGCAACAATGACGGTAAAACCACCATGTGTCCGCGTGTTTATTTTCCACATAAACCTTTCACAATAAAGCTCAAGATCCTGTTGAGACTTTTCAAAATAAACTGAATCACGTGAAAGAGCAGATTATTTACGGATGAGAAGCAAAAAAGAGCCGCCAGGTGCTAAAAAATAAACCTTAGACTCAAACGTTAGAACAGGCTTTTCCCCGCAGCACGCCGTGTAAGAAATACTCACAAAGAAAACGGCGACCGTTACAACTTATGTCTAAAAATGTATCGTTTCAATTAAAACACTCGACTCCAGGTACGAGACGCCCAGCTGGAAACACTTCATGCAAGTCGAGCTGCCCGAGATTCACAGAATTTATAGAAAATGTTAAATTTTTGTGATTTATATCGTTCCCAGGACGATGGATGTCTTAATATCGGGATATGAGATTTTGGTCATATCGCACAGCCCTAATCCCATAATCAAAAAAGTTAAACACATTCACTTCTTGCTACTTTTCAAGAACCCTGTATCAAGTTACATTGTGTTACCATCTGTTCTTATGTATTGTTTTACTGCTGTCCTATTATTATTATTTTTTCTTCAATAATGGTTGAAAAATTGTTACCATTTGCTTTAATATAAATTTTAATTCATGTAATTACTGTTTTATTTCAGTATACAACAGTGAAAATCAAACTGCCTTAAATGAAGCTGGCATCAGCAATTGAATGTTGTGCACTCTGAACTTTGTCAATAAAAATGTGATAACTCGAGTCACTCACACAGGTGCTCTTAAACATTTGTCCAATTTGTACACTCCAAATTTCACTCACATATGTGAGCAACATGCTCTCAGTGTACAGACTTGCTAGAATATATTTGCTCAGATGTGCCTTCCTGTCATCATATTAGTAACCTTCTTGTTATGTCCCCTTATCCTTTAAGATCCCCTACAGCAATATGAAGTGTGAGGAAGAGGAGAGTCTGAATGACCCGGAGATCTATAACCAGGAGTGGAACTTTGGTCTGAGCGAGGATGGTCCACAACTTCCACAGATTAAAGAGGAACAGGAGGAAGTCTGCACCAGTCAGGATGTAGTACAGGTTGTAGTGAAGCAGGAGTCTGAAGAAATCTTCGCCTGGACTGGGAAAGAGCGATTCAGAGTGCTGGATAACATCTGGAAACACGAGGAAGACTTACAGTGCACAGGTATATAAAACTTAATAGTTGTTGGGGGCGTTTTTCTCTGTGCACAGACACACTCTACCTCTCCTTTTATTCTTCAACAAAAAACATGTATGGTGCTTTTGAATTTGCTTAACTTGCTGAACAGAATCAACTTTTGGGAACCAGGTGCAGAACGACTCTTTGCTGAACAGAAGAGTGTTCTGGATTCTTTGTGGTCATGAGGCTATCACAAGACAGCAGTTCTCTTGTCCTTATTGCCAAAGCTTGAGAGCCCAACCAGTCAACCCTAAGATGGCTGATTTGCATCCTTCTTAGCTCAGATTGCATAAACCAACATTTTTTGATATCTCGGCCAGGGTTGTTATCTCTGCCCTGTGGATGAACATAAAGGCCACGACACAGTCTCAGCTGCAGCAGAAAGGACTGAGAGGCAGAGAGAGCTGGAGGTGAGTCGACAAAACATCCAGCAGAGAATCCAGGACAGAGAGAAAGATGTGAAGCTGCTTCAACAGGAGGTGGAGGCCATCAATCAGTCTGCTGATCAAACAGTTGAGCACAGTGAGAAGATCTTCACTGAGCTGATCCATCTCATCCAGAAAAGAAGCTCTGATGTGAAGCAGCAGATCAGATCCCAGCAGGAAACTGAAGTGAGTCGAGTCAAAGAGCTTCAGGAGAAGCTGGAGCAGGAGATCGCTGAGCTGAAGCAGCTCTCACACACAGAGGATCACATCCAGTTTCTACACAACTACCCCTCACTGTCAGCACTCAGTGAGTCTACAGACTCATCCAGCATCAATATCCGTCCTCTGAGCTACTTTGAGGATGTGACAGCAGCTGTGTCAGAGGTCAGAGATAAACTACAGGACATTCTGAGAGAGCAATGGACAAACATCTCACTGACAGTCACTGAAGTGGAAGCCCACAGCTTGTTGGCCTTATTGTAATAACACTGCACTTCGTAGATCAGTGTGTCAACCTCAAGGTGCTGACAAAGGAGCAAAAATCTACTTGGATTAAGTCTAATAATCACTGTTGGCATTGTGGGTGGCACCACCGGGCCAGTGTTGGTTAAACCTCCTAGGACCTGGCATCCACATATATGGACATCACATTTTGGGTTATTTAGACCAGAATACTATCTAAATCCACTTGAACCCCTAACTGTACACATTTTCCTGTTTAGAAGCAAAGTTACCTTCTACTATGTAGGCAAAATAAAATTGATTTATTTTTATTGTCTTTCTTTTTCTTTAGATTCGTGGCAGATATGTAACCAGGAGAGGAACTCCAGACCAGGAGGACAAAGATCCTTCACAAACTAAAGACGAACAGGAGGAATTGTCCATCAGTCAGGAAGGAAAGCAGCTTTCACTGAAGAAGGAAGCCAAAGATACCATCATCTCGACCAGGCAGGAGCTGGGCATCAAGTGGAACACTGAAGTAAAGTTGCACATACCGTATTTTCACAACCATAAGGCGCACTTAAAAGTCTTAGATTTTCTTCAAAAAGTGCGGCGCGCCCTATAGCGCAGTGCGCCCTGTGTGTTGTAAGGAGGACGTAGTAGAGAACACCATGAGAACGCTAAAGGGTGAAGTGTGTGCGTTGACTTTATTGCACATACCTGTATAAAAGAACAGGTATGTGCGTTATGCAGGACATCGTTGTTTTAACAACCCTGAAAATGGCAAAGAGACACGCTTACGAAGCACAGTTTAAACTGAAGGCCATCAGCTACGCGGAGGAACATGGAAATCGAGCAGCGGCGAGAGAATTTAAGATTAATGAATCGATGGTTCGCAAGTGGAGGAAGCTGGAAAACAAGCTCCGGCAGGTCAAGAAGACGCAGCTGAGTTTCCGCGGACATAAGGCGATCATCGAGCAAAGAACGAGCGGGAGAAGCGTTTCGACGGTCACCATTCGGCTAAAAGCAGTTTCACTTTCACTTTTTATGAAACGGTGCCATTTTTCCATCCGGACCAGGACTACGGTAGCGCAGCAACTTCCAGCGGATTATAAGGAAAAGCTGGCCATCTTCCGCTCCTACTGCAGCAAACACATCGGCGACAAACACATCCAGCGATGGATGACCGATGGAGACCACAGTTTCACCAAGAGTGGAAGGCAGCGCCGGGCGAGTTACGCCACAATTTGCCAATGGATTGTAGATGCTTGGGCTAACATGTCTGCTGGCACTGTTATTCGAGCTTTCGCGAAAGCCGGCATCATTTCCGAGGAGCCGCACGGCACGGAAAGTGACTCTGACAGTGAAGACAGTGAACCTGGCATGTTTGATGAAGATTTAGCGCAGCTGTTCAATTCAGACACAGAGGATGAGGACTTCGATGGGTTTGATTGATGATAAAAATGTGAGTACCAAACTTTGTTTTGCTCCTGCTTTATTTTTAAATACGCACACTTGTATGCTTGTGTGTTGTTGATGATGACGATTACTGGTAATAAAAATGTGAGTAAGGTACCGAACTCAGGTTTGCTCCCGCTTTATTTTTAAATACGCATACGGTACTTGTATGCGCCCTATGATCCAGTGCGCCTTATGTGTGTGTTAAATACAGTAATGGCACACATAACTGAGACTGCGCCTTTTAGCACAGTGCGTCTTATGGTCGTGAAAATACGGTAATATGTATGCAAAGCTGTAATGGATGGATTTCTTACTACAAAACTGAATAAAACTCATGTTGGGTCCTATTCAGACCTCAGAGATATGTTATAGGGGCACATGAAGAATCTAAAGACCAACTGCAATAAGCAGCATTAATGCATCTGTTTTGTAAACTTTTTAAATATATTGACAATTTAAAATTAATTTAAAATTGACAATTTTCCCTATTAGTGCCGAATGTTTAATTTGAAAATAAATTATCGATTTTAAACTAAGCTTTTCACAAACCACACAACACTATGATAGGTGTGTCCCTGTGCCACGTTTCTGGGTCTTCCTGTCTTACCCTTTGGATTCCAGCACAAGGCCTGTGTAGTGATGTTATTGGTGGACTTCCTGAGGGTGTGGCCAGCTGTTGATGAATATCTGCAATATACACAGGGTTGTGTTTGTCTTGCTACATGTTTATGAAATATAGAGAAGTGTAAGTTTTTAAAATGCCCGGCTTGGTGGATGCTCTAATCTCTCTTTAGCTCTTGAGCTCAAGAAAGGTCAGAAGACGGTTCCAGACAATAACTTAATGCCCACTCATATCCTGGGCCATGTGACCTCAGTAAATCACATGATAGGGTGGGGCAAGGCCTCTCGATGTCTTTCTGAAAGTGCTGTAACAAGGTTTAAGAATTTAATTCACCCACTGTTGTTATCCTTAATGCCCTGTACCAACGCAGAGCAGCTACCTGAATGCTACTCCAACAGAGGTCGATTATCTTGTTAATAATTTTACCTCCTCACTACGTACGACTCTGGATACTGTAGCTCATGCGACAAGAGAAGAATCAGAAGTACCTGACTCTGTAGTATAACTCTCAAATACGCACCTTAAAGCAGGTAACAAATACATGTGTACTGAGTTTTTGTAACCTTGTAAATCAAAATATGTGAAAATTTGGTGTGTGTGTGGTAAAAAGAAAAAAGATTTGTGTTTGTTGTAGCTCAGAATTCTTTGCCAGCTAAATCCTATATATATTTCTGCACTACGTCACACCGACACACAGTTTACTCAGTTCCACTTTTTGTGTCAGAGAACAGATGGGTTTGGCTGTTGAAGGGGTGCTTTACTGAACTTCAGGTCCTGGAAGAATAAATGCCCTTTTATATGCCAGCAATACATGTTTTTATTGAACATTTGAAGATAACACAACACAAACTCTAGAAGAGGACATAAAGTCAGAGATGGAAACGACAAGGAGCAGGCGCATCTAGTACACATAGAGCTGTCACAAAAACTCACAGAGCTCAGCAGCCAGCGCAACAAATTCTGAATCCTTGGCTTTTAGTTAGCAGTTAGCATTAGCAACACATGCTCCATCCGCTGTGAAAGGGCCCTTATGCTAAGACATCTGGGATAAACACTGGTTTGAGCGCGGAGTCAAGGAGGCGATTTACGTGAAAAGGGAAAGACAATCTCTGAATCGAGGAGGGGGCCTAAAGGTACATCTTTCGCCGTCTTACAATGCTGTGATTGCAGCCATTCCCCAACTCTCTGTGAATTGTACTCATGGCCATTGATCAGTGGGCTTTGATAAGTGGTTGTTGATCAATGGTCGTGAGAATTTCCATAATTATGATGAAGGAACTGACCTCGCAGCCCATTGATCCTTCAGTGGTGCTAGGTTCAGTCATTATGCAAAATTACAGTTTATAAGATTAGGAAAACCTGCAGTCAGCTGAGACTGAAGAAGTCACATGGATGAGTGACGAAACGTTTCGAAACGCTACATCCAGATGAATAGGATCAACTTTTGGAGATACTCTGGATGGGATTATTATTTGTTTGTGATTTTTATTTGTGACCACGATATGTCCTCCAATGAACATATTAAACAAATATGGAGGACTGCTTTCTTCCATTTGCACAAAATCTGTAAAATTAGAAATATCCGGTCTCAGAGTGACGCTGAAAAACTAGTTAATGCATTTATTACTTCTAGGACTACTGTAATTCATCATTATCAGGATGTACTAAAAACCCATGAAAAGCCTTTAGTTAATCCAAAATGCTGCAGCAAGAGTACTGACAGGAACTAGAAAGAGAGCATATTTCTCCTATATTGGCTTCCATTCATTGGCTCCCTGTTAAATCCACAGTTTAATTCAAAGTCCTGCTATTCACACACAAGGGCAAGTACCATATCACCCCATTGGATCACTTCGCTCTCGCACTGCAGGCTTACTCATTGTTCCTAGAGTATTTAAAAGTAGAATTGGAAGGAGAGCCTTCAGTTTTCAGGCCCCTGTTCTGTAAAACCAGTTTCCAGTTTGGATTCGGGAGACAGACCGTCACAGTTGACGCTGGCCAACTGTGGGAATGTGAGGAAGGAGCTGTGAATGCAAGCAGTGCGTTTATTTACAGTGCATGGAAAATAACAATAAAACCCGAATGCGTTCCCGACTCCCGTGACATGTCCTCTTCCCAGTGTTAGTGTTCTTTGTCCCCGCTCCTCAGTGTCTGAGCACCCCGTGCTCGCTGCCCTCTCATCTCCACACTTCTCCTGGGAAAATAACAATGCAGCAGATTAAACTTACTAACTGGCCAAGAGACTAACATAAAGCCACGCAATGATCCAGCGTCGGAGAAAGCTCCACCACACTCTTAAGTAGCTCCTCCGACGAGGCTTGATCAGCTGCCCCATGAGGCGACTGTTGCTGTGATTTGGTGCTGTATCAATAACATTGACTTGAAGAGAGTCAATAGTCAGCTGGTAACACAGAAAATACAGCATTAATATTTATTTAGAAGCATTAGTTTGTCTGAGAATCTGTTTTTTACTGCAAAATTTTTGTCCTGTTTTTAAATCTCACCTGATGCATGATCATCTTTTTATTTACGGAAATTAGATTTCCAAAATGTCTATCACTGAGTCAGCTAAACAGCTTATCCCCAGAACATACCTTTTACTGGTACATGTGAAAACCATGTTTACCATGTAAGGACCTGCTAATTGTTGAGGTTACATTACAGTTGATCCAATTTATGTTTTTCTGATATTATCATTTTGTCCCTTCAGATCCTCCACAATGTGACTGTAAAGACAAGGAGGGCCTCACAGATCAGCAGGTCCGTAACCAGGAGAAGAACTCCAGTCTGGACCAGGAGGATTCTTCACAGATTAAAGAGGAACAGGAGGAACTCAGTACCACTCAAGTGGCATAACCACTTGTACAAAAGCAGGAGACAGAAGCTTTTCCTGCTCGTGAAGAAAACGACCACAGTGAACCAGAACCAAGCAGTGACCAGCTCCTTTCTCACAACTCTCCTGACACTGATCAGGAAGAAAACAAGGATGGTGACTCACACAGAAAAAAGTCAGATCAAGTCGTAGCAGGACTGAGAGTTCAAAATTCCAAGACAGTACATTTATGTAGTACCTGTGGGAAAAAATGTAATAGGATGGAAAACTTGAAACAACACATGCAAATTCACACAGGTGAGAAGACGCATTCTTGTAGCACCTGTTGGAAAAATTTTACTCTAAAAACGCATTTAAATGAACACATGAGAATTCACACCGGTGATAAGCCTCATTCTTGTAGCACCTGTGGGAAAAGATTTAGTTTAGCAGCAAATTTGAGAGCCCACATAACAATTCATACAGGTGAAAAAACATATTCCTGTAGCACATGTGGGAAAGGATTTAATCACAAGACATCTTTAAAAATACACATGGAATTGCATACAGGGGAAAAGCAATATTCCTGTAGCAGCTGTGGGAAACGATTTAGTGTGGCAGCAGCTTTGAGAAGTCACATAAAAATTCATACAGGTGAGCAGTCAAATTCCTGTATTACCTATGGGAAACAATTTAGTGTGGAAGGAACTTTGAGAAGTCATATAAGAATTCATTCAGGTGAGAAGCCATATTCCTGTAGCACATGTGGGAAAGGCTTTAATCATAAAGCTTCTTTTAAAATACACATGGAATCACATACAGGTGAAAAAAGATATTCCTGTAGCACATGTGGGAAAGACTTTAGTGTGGCAACAACTTTGAGAAGTCACATAACAGTTCATACAGGTAAAAAAAAAACACATTGTTGTAGCACATGTGGCAAAAGTTTTAGTTGTCTTGAGTACTGGAAAGCCTACATCAGTGTCCACGCAGGTGAGAAACCACATTGCTGCAGTACATGTGGGAAAAGTGTTAGTTCCCTCACAAACTTAAATTCACATGAGAGTCCGGTGAGAAGCCGTATTGTTGTGGTGCCTGTGGAAATGGGTTTTACTCATATGTCAAGTTTGAAAAGACACATGGGAGGCCACACAGATGAGAAGCCACATTGTTGCAGTGTCTGTGGGAAAATTTTTAGTCGTATGTCAAGTTTGAAAATACACATTGGTTTTTCACCTGTGTGGCCTCTATATTGTTGTAGCAGCTATGGGAAAAAATTCACTTCTTCGGTACAGTTGAAATATAGGAAAACATGCTACATGCTAAGTTTCATTTTTAGAAAATGTTGGTGGCGGAGCTTATGTGTCTCTGACTACATTAACAGGTACATTTGGTAAATGTAACTTTTTCTGACTGTTTTGGCTTTTTACCCAATATAAACAGTATAAACAAGTTTTGTTTTTTTTTGTTTTGTTTTGTTTTTTTTAAATCCTTCTAGGAAGGCTGAAGATTTTTGAAAGCTCAGTTTCTGTGTTTCCATATGGACAAGAAAAACAGAGTTTGTCTCACAACTTTAAAGGTGTGCACCTTTACCACCTTTATCTGACACCATTCCGTTATTATTTGTGGGCTTTTGATTGACATTTGATGGACATTTCTTCACGTTGCTTTGGTTCGGTGTCAACAGTGCTTGAGATCACATGAGTCTTAATGTAATCAGAACTATTTGCCAAGTTATTATAGGTGTTAGGAAGGTTGTTTTTAAAATGTATTCCGCTACAGATTACAGAATACATGGCCCCAAATGTAATTTGTAATGTATTCCATTACATTAATCAATGGGAGTAATGCTTTTTACAACTACAAAAATGTATTATTACTGTGTGATGATACATTAGAGCAGAGGTCTCAAACTTAAATGAGCTGTGGGCCACTTCTGACACTGTCATGTCATTGGAAGGCCACTTTAGTGTTCAGGTAGTACAAAAAAACCCCAAACAAATAAACAAGAAAACACCCACAACCAATTCCTAAAATATGATCTTTTGTTTGTTTGTTTTTCCATTTCAAATATTGTATTACAAGACAAAACTGCAAACGTGAACGCAGTCTTTTATTGAACTACCAAATAAATATATTAATACTCTCTTTTGACCAGACACATGACAGCTTTTCTGCTATAATTTCGTTCGTATTTACCAAAATAAAAATGCAGACATAAGTGTACACATTAGTTTTTGACTGCTAATGAAAAATGTTTTCTTTTTGTACTCTGCCAGGATTCCTGGATCGTTGACACAGTGTCTTCAGTCTTAGACTTTGTCATGGTTTAGGTTTCATGTTTGCTGTTTAACTGTGTCAACCTTCTGTTTATGTGCATTATGTGTAGTTCTTCTTACTGTGTTATTAGTTAGATTATATTCAGCTGTGTACTCACTGGTCTCTAATTGTCATCATTTGCCAGAGTATTTGAGACCCAGGCATTAGTCTTGTTTGGGTTTCCACCAGCGTGGAATTACCAAAAATATTTAGGGGATAGCCTGACATATGAAACAGGACAAAACAGCTGTGTAATCCATTTATTTCAACAAACTAACTGTATTCTAAATATCACCTTTTTAAATGGTAACCGTAACAGAATACAGTTACTCATATTTTGTATTTTACATACATAACGCTGGTACATGTATTCTGTTACTCTCCAACATTGGTTATTATCTAATATTTTGGACTAATGTTTAACTTTGATAGTGTTGTGTTCCATTTTGAAAGGTTTGTAATATGTGGTTGGTAGAAACTGGCGAAAGATGCACGTGGTAATTATTTTATATGTATGAGTCACTTTAACAGCCCAAAGTTGACCTCAGCTGTAAACCACCTCAAGCATAATGCAACTTATACATGTATGGGTGTGTGGATATGTGTATGCATATGTATATATACACATATTTACATATTACATACATATTACATATTTACATATATTTAATATTTATGGATGTATGTGTATTCGTACATGTGTGTGTGCATCCAGGTGGAAAACAGGAGTGATACACCTCCTGCTTTCAGGGCTGCAGGTATCAGGTTTGTGATGTTTTACTAAGTCTTACAGAGGACAGAAACTGTTTTTTGGAGTGGCACAAATAACTTTTGTGGAATCCTATTTGATGCAAAACACCTGATTGCTCTCTAAATAATTTAAAATGGGTTAAAAATGTCTGTGGCATTGGCTTTATTTTTAGGTAAATAGTTGCATATAACTTTGTTGTTTGCAAAACTTGTGCATAAGTTTTTAAAACATACAATTTCTATTTGCATTCCAAGTTAAGAAAATTATTTGTTAAACTTGTTTGTGGTTTTTACAGTAAAACAATTTACTTTTTCGTACTCTGATTTTGTTTATTTTGTCTGATTTTGAAACTGTGTTAATAAAGTATGTCAAAAGGAAAGGTAAAATCAAAATGCCATAAAAACAACAAAAAACGTGGATCTTAAAAACAATAGAACTATATCTGTTGAATAATGATTCTGATTTTCACTATGACACTTGCTTTTCAGTTTAAGTCATGGACCTAAATGCGTCACCTTTTGTTTCCGTTATAAAGAAGAGACTCACACAATAACTGATACTAAGAATAGAAGTGGTGCAGAAGGAAGTTCAGCTGAACCAAGAAACCTTTTCTTGTTTGATCTGTTTGGATCTTCTAAAGCAGGGGTGTCAAACTCAAATACACAGTGGGCCAAAATTTAAAACTGGAACAAGGTCGCGGGCTAACATTAATATTTATTGAAAAAAAGATCTTCCTCCAGATTTAAGAATGAATCTCTTCTTATGGACTCAAACAAGTTTTGCTGAAAAACTGAACATGGAACAAGCAAAGCTTAATACTAAACAATATATATTAGCTGTATAATACCGGTAGGCCAGCTCTAATAATAATTTGGTATGGCTTCGCGGGCCAAATGTAATTAGGCTGCGGGCCAAATTTGGCCCATGGGCCAGAGTTTGACACCTATGTTCTAAAGAATCTGGGGACTATTGTCTCTGGACACAGCTACTGCATGAACCGTATTAATGGCTTTTAGGATGGAGAGGAGAAAATCAGAATCGGAATACTTTATTAATCCCGAAGGAAATTAGGGAAAAGAAAAATCTACCCTTGCCAATAAAGCATCTTTACTTTACTGCAGCTGTGATGAAAATAAAGCAACAGTGTGAGTGTGAGGCATGTAAAGTGTTAAGCATACTTTGATGGTCTGCAGTAAGACACCTTAAGCATAATGAATTGTCAGAGATGGGCATTACAGCTAATTCTCAACTTGAATAATTGGGAACGATAAATTCTTTATCCAGGTTTCTGCAAAGCTCCAGACTTTGTCAGGAATTGATTTTTGTTGGACTGACCTGATGAGGGCAGTATTACGCCTTTGACACCTCCAGTCTACTGTAAGTACAACAGAAGAAGAATAGTGGCAATGGCGCCATTGAGAGATTCTATCGCAATCCTGAGTTATGTTTGAAGACGTTGGTTTGGCGGTATCGGTTGTTGTTGCAATAATGTCTTAAATTCAGCATCTGAGAGAGGTTATCAAGGAGAGATTAACTTCTGCTGCAGAAGAAATCTTCTCAGAGTTTGAAAAGACGATCGTCCGGTATGAGGAGGAGATTAGTCAGCTAAGACTGCTTGATATCAGACCCGGGATAAAGTCACACAATACAGTTGTGTAAATTTGTGGAGATGTGGGGGTTGCGGGATCATCGCAGGATTCATGTGGGCATGTGGACATGTGGACAATTCCCGAGGATCTTTAGAGGCATTCGGAGTGTGTGGATAGAGGCTCTGGTGACTTAAACTCCAGTGACATGTAAAGTAATAGGCAACAGCTTTATTTAGTGACCAACGCGGTTTGTAGTCTTCATCAGCGTCATTGCAAAATGTCAAATGGCTTGTGTTTAAATAAAAATCAGGAAACAGAAAAAGAAATCTCCAGTTAGACCAATCACAGCTTCACAAATAAAGCAGTTGACCAATTATCATTTAACAGGTTGGTATTGGTAAATTGGTTAAGCCACAGCCCAAATAGGTTCTGGACTGAGCCACTTCAGATTAAAAGGGGAGAAAAGATAAATGGCCTGTATTAGTATAGCGCTTTATTAGTCCCTAAGGAGCCCAAAGCGCTTTACACATCCAGTCATCCACACACACTGGTGATAGCAGCTACATTGTAGCCACAGCCACCCTGGGGCTCACTGACAGAGGCGAGGCTGCCGGACACTGGCGCCACCACCAGTAGGCAACGGGTGAAGTGTCTTGCCCAAGGACACAACAACGGAGACTGTTCAAGCCGGGGCTTGAACCGGCAACCTTCTGATTACAAGGCGACCTCCCAACTCTTGAGCTACAATCGCCCCAATGTAAAAAATCACTGCATGTCTTAATGTAATACATGCTAAAAAAGTACACAGAAACCTGCAAACAAGTTAATATAAAAAATACAGTACCTACAGGAACATTAAAAGGAAAATGAAGCTCTGACAAGCCTATCTGTTATGTTTTTACCTCTCTTAAGTTATCATTGGCGGTTCTTTAAAAATCCCTAATGATAAGCTTGGATCACTTTGAAGGTTATACCAATGTTTTAAAATGATTTCTTTAATGTTCCTGGGTGTTTGTGTAAAAGTTGTCTAGAAGACAAGATTTGATTTATGTTTTGGAGGTTTCTTGATCTCTAAATAAAACTTCCTACTTTTTGAGTCGACCTTTTTTTTTCTGCAGATCTTATCAAGTCCTTCATAATTTCTTTCTTTAACTTTTTTCAACATCTCTTCTTTATTCTCATAGTATTGTTCTGGAATTTCACAGATACGTTTAAGGCTAATCAATTGGCTTACAGGTAAGCTTTTTTTGAGGTGGCTAGGATGGAAACTTTCATGACCCAGACCTAGTGCTAGATTTTTTTTAATTATACTCTGCAAAACCTTTCCCACAGTTACAGTAGAGTTATTTTAATCAGTGCAGCATTTTCTTTTGTTTTGCAATGTAATGTATTCCAGTAGGTTTGGGGGTACAGAGAGGTACAGAGATTTCTCTTTTTTGTTACTTTTTTGTCAAGGAAGTTAATTTCTTTAGTGTTGCAATTAAGGGTAAAACATAAACTTGCAAAATGTCCATTTAAGGATTCTACAAACTCCAGTAATGAAGTAACTTGTACATAATCTATATACCATAATAAGTGGGAGGAAAGTGCTATTGTAGTAGTAATATAAAATTAGTTCTTTAGTTCTTCCAGGTGATCAAGAAATAGAAAGGCAAAACTGGGTGCCAGAAATGTTGAGATATGGTATGCTGGGTGTTGGTACCACACTGGCTGGTCTGAGTGTTTCAGAAACTTCTAATCTGCTTAAATATTCCAGCACAAACATCTGTATGATTTACAGAGAGTAATCCAAAAAAGAGAAAATATGCAGTGCCCTTAAAATGACAGTGAGTTTCCTGTACTCGGGTCTCCAGAGTCACCAGGTCTCAACCCAACAGTGCACCTTTGGAATGTAGTGGAACATGAGATTTGCATCATGGATGTGGAATTGACAGATATGCAGCAGTTGTGTGAAGCATTCAGGTCAATATAGACCACAAATATCTGAGGAACGTTTCCATCACTTTCCTGAATCTTCACAAAGAATTAAATCAGCTGTGAGGACGAAAGGGGCTCCAATCCAGTACTAGCATTGTGTATCTAATAAAGTGACCAGTGAGTGTATATTTATTAGTAAAATGTTAAAAGATTAGTATCAACAGCATACTTTAACTGCTTTCATCATCATATGCAGATCATGCTGCTGTTCATTTGTTTGTTTGTTTGTTTATTCACATTGTGTGATGATCACTGGCAGTCAAATCTAGAAATTAGACCCCAGACAGTTGTAAGGTTATCAGCATCACCCAATGAACAAATGACTATGACTGAATGTTTCTGTGGCAACATCTGCAAGAATGCAAGAGCCCTTGAAACCATAAGCTAAATTCTCAATAGGTGACCCCTTTTAATCCTTCTTGATCTTTCTTATTATCACATTAGTCACGATTTTCTTGTGTCTTTTTGTTGAACACGAAGGTCTGGATGATCAGCAGATCTGTTACCAGGAGAGGAGTCTCAACCAGGAGGACCCAGAGCCTCCACAGATTAAAGAGGAACAGGAGGAAATGTGTAGCAGTGAGGAAGGAGAGCAGCTTGAACTGAAGCAGGAGGATGAAGGGATTCATGTCTGGACCGGAGAACAGCTGGATTTGTTGTGGAAACCTGGACTAAAGCTGACCAGAATAGGTATGTGAATCTGTAATATACAGACTTCATAATACCGAAGTGAATATGACTTATATCAAAAGGCCAGGTGATGACATCACAAAGACACGTGCATTACCGCCTGGCATACTACCTTACTGAAGACATGTTTTCTGTTAGCACAGTAAAATAAAAACTGGATTTAAAATCTTCTGTTTGTTTAAAAAAAAACAACTAAATTTTCCACAATATAGATTTAAGTCATGTTGGCCCAGAA